ATCACTTGTGAACCTCTCAGAAATACCGGACCAGGGGATGGTTCTGGGGTTTTCTCCTAATAGGTGAACTGAGAAGGGTTGGAAGCTTCCACTAAACAATGGCTCCTTCGTCATGTCTTCACATTTCAGTTGAGTTTTTAATAGCTTTTTGGAACTTCCTATGAGGATCCCAGAGGCAAAAAACCCCCACAAACCTGGAGAATTCTTAAGGTCTGTGCTCTGCCAAAAGAAGCCTGGCAATGCAGTTAACAAGATCACTTCCCCTGTTACGTGAATTATTGTTGTTTTTAATTAGAAGTAATGCTGTAGTTTGGATGTACAGCACAATGGGGTATAAAATGCAGTTCAGCACAGATACGAAAGATGATTTTTCTAATTATAAACCTATTTAGAAGGTGGGTACACTAGAAATGATGAAATGCCAAGCTGCAGATGAGGTGAGCAGGCTGGAATACGCATGCACCCACGCACCCACACTGTCAGAGGAGAGAGAGGAGAGTGCTCTGGAAAACAGTTATAGATGCATAATTAGTTTAATCTGAAATTAATGCTAATTTCAGCAATTTGTGATGCAGATTCACTATTAGTACTCTAGTCCACTTCCACCACATTGAGAAATTGAGGATGCAAAGTCTTGATGAATTCCCCACCGGAGTGTGCTCGAGCTCAGTTCAGGCACAGGTTTCCAGGGTGCTCTTTGAGCCCTGTGTGTTGGTTTGCTTTAACCCTGTGTCGCTGCCTCCTGCTTTGGGATTTCACATGGATTTTGGGATTTTACATGGAGTTTACTTTGCGACAAGAAACGCTCTGCCCTAGCTGGGTGTCAGCACTCATCCCTTCCAGCCTCCTGAGCGGGAGCTCTGAATTAAAACTGGGCAGGGGGGACACAGCAAAAAAAAACTGCATGAGGAATGATTGGGAAATGACACTTAAAACCATTACCCTGAAGTCAAATATGTAACTTCTTTGTTAAACATAGACAGGGCCTTGACTCATCTAGATGGAGTAGTGGGTGCTTGTTGCTTCAGATTTTGAAATTCTGGGAATTGTGCAAAATATTTAATAAGCCTAAAATCCCCTTTGTTCATTATTGATAATAGTGATGGTAAGAGTTTCAGTGGGGAAAGAAAAACCACAGGAAGACAAAGAGCAGCATTGGTGGGTGAGGGATGTTCATGGACTCGGAGCTGGCGGCTCTGGCTCTGAAAAACCCCATTCCTTTGTTTCACCAGTTTGTGAGGTTTAGCTCATGGGTATTGATGTGTTCGAGTGGGACAGGACTTTTGTTCCCAGAGACTGCATCTTCAGCCTGTTATTTAGAGGAGACTTACGTGATACACCCCAAACTGATCTAATTACAACCTCAACCTTGCGAAAATGGCATAAACTCGGCAGACCTGCCTGGCTAAAGCATGAAAGGGTTTTTCCTGCTCCTGCACCACCTGAAGTGTTTGCTCAGTTTCAGAACACAAAGGCGATTATATTTTTCAAAGCCAAGCCAATAAATGGAGTGTAACCTTGAATGCCTCCTCGCAGGAGTAGTCACATGTGTTTTGATTAACTCCACACTAACGCCGTATACAAACAGCAATTCTGCTGCGCTCACAATTAACGGGCCTCGGATCTGCCTCTCCTGGCGATTCCCTCTGCAGCCAGAGAGAGACACCTTCAGTGCACAAACCCTCCAAACCCATCCCGAGCCCACGGTCTGCAGAGCCCTGCAGGAGCCAGCAATGGATACAGGGCACTGCAGAGGAAAACCCGAGGCATGAAACTGGAAGTGTTGTGGTTTTGGAGTGACCCAGACCTCTTGGAGTCATTCATAAATCGTGGATTTGTGATTGATTCTCACAAATCACATCCTATTACCCAAACCCTACTGTTCCATCCCTGGAAGGGGCAGATGGAGCTGCTGGCGGAGGGTCTGAACCCACCAATGCTGCAGTGACTCCCTCACTGTTTGGGGGTGTGTGTGTATGTCCCTATTGTGAGTAATCTCCAGAAAGCAGATTCTGAATTTACTCACAGGAAAAGATAAAGATCCTCAGTGACTTTCACTGGAGGAACTTCAGACTGGGGATTTCGGTTGGGGCTTTTTGTTACAATAATAAGAAAATAATGATAATGAGTGTTTTTCTTCAATATATACATAAATGCTTTTATGGAATTGTAGGGGTTTTTTGCTAAATATATGCTGATTTATTTTCTGAGCCAATTGAGTGTTTTGATTTTAAAAAAGCCTTTAATTTTTGAGAGCAGCTAAAGTTACCAGTGCCTGTGATCATTGGTGCCTCTGACTCTGTCATCCATAGTGTTTACACCAAGGGTACTTCATTAAATGTACTTTAACCGTTTGGTTTTCCTCCTGAAAACAAGCACAGATCTGTGGTGGAGAGACCATCACTCCCTGGGGTGAACCAGAAGGCTTTATTGGAACCCTGTTTCCTTCAGAGGGTACTCAGTGAGGAGCAAGCTGCCCTCACAGCCATTGGCAATGGGACATTTGGGGCCTTTCTGGTTAACGTGGGTTTTCTCAGCACATTGTGTTTGGCCAGAGTGTTTGGCAGCCTTTGGCTGTGACCCTCAGGCTGGCAGGGTGTGCTCCCAGTGCCTGGGCTGTGTGTGCAGTGCCCTGCCCTGGGGAACCTTGGGCCCAGCAGGACCTGGGGCTGGTGCTTTCCCTGAGGAAGCCTCTCCTCGTGTGGTGTCTGCTGGGCTGCTGAGGGAGGATGTGCAGGTCAGAGCAGAGGGGGGGGGGCTTTGTCTCCAGCTGGTCCGAGTCCCGCAGTTATCCAAAGGCTGGAAACTGGGGAGGCTGTACCAGCACAGACACGTGTGGAGAGCAGCTCCCCTGGCATCAGTGCCAGGGACAGGAGCGGGTGATGGCAGCACCACGGCAGCTCCTACCTGCTGGGGTCCCATGAGGACCCGAGCTGGGCACGGGTGGCTGCCATGGCTCTGTGGTGAGGGCTGGTCACCCCTCCCCTCTGCTGGGCACGTCCATCCCTGGGCAGGGCAGAGCTGTGTCCAAACCTGCCCTGTCTCCGGGGATCCCAGGTTGGGTGAGGGGGAGCTGAGCGGTGGCCGCTGGCTGAGCCCGGGGCGGGTCTGGGGGCACCTGGGTGCCTGTGCCACAGGTGGGAGGCAGGCAGGGCATGCAGGGAATCCTGCTGCTCAGGCACGTCGGGATCAGAGGAATCGCTCAGGCTACACGTTTTCTGTTCTGGTGCTGGGGGGAATGTGGTAACAAAGCAATTGAACTGTCTCTTCAGGGAAACGTAGATTGTAAAAGCAGACTTAATTTTGTGCTTCACTTTGGTACCAAAGAGCTGATTTCTGAAACCATTTCCCAGCTCGCAACACATCTCTAGGCATTAAAATGTTGTGAATTTGCTTGTCATTACCAATATTTTCTTTGACTGAAGCTATTGAAACAAAGTGGTCTTTTTCTTTTTTTTTTTTTCTTTAACCTTCAATCTTGCTTCTAAAAGCAGTAGCTCTCGTTTTCTTTCTTTCTTGGTCAAATATAAAAATGATGATAATTTCAAATACTGCTTTAGAATAATTGCTTTCCTCCCTCTTTTGTATGACAACAGAAGCTTGGCCTGATCTTAAATCAGATGCTGGCAGGCAGAGGGCTCTTGACAGCCCTGCAAAATCCTTTAGTTACAAGTCGGCTTTCGCCAATTCTTTATTTGTAAATGACAATTTTCTACAGAAAAATATATGCTTGGGCTTCAATTTCGGAGCCCTAGATTGCAGCCAGGAAAAAATAATTGAATTTTTACACAGGTTTTTTTTTCTCTTTCTTTTTCTTTCTAACTTGAAAAAGAGGAAAAAAAAATAAAGTGGACTTCTGTAAGGAAGGGAATATCTGGTTAATGAGAGTCATGCAGCATTTTTCCCTTCAGTCTCAGGAAGTTGGCTGCTTCACCCAGTTTCCAGAGCAAACAAATTTAAGCATTTCAATGCATGAATTTTATATTGGCGCGTTCGGTTTCCTGAGTTAACGTGCAGTGTTGACTCAGACACCTTTGTATGGTGGGTTGGCTGCTGCTGGGCTGTCTCCAGCTCTGAGGCCATGGTCTGATCCAAGCTGGGGTGTTTCCCCTCTGCCCAACTGTACCAGGATGATGGACCCTTGGGAGCATTGCCCTGGATCTGCCCTGACTTCGGGGGGCCCACAAGGGTCAGGGGGTTTGGGATCAGCCCACCAGACACCAGCTTCCCCTGCCATCGTTGGGGTTTGTGTCCACGGGCTGATCCTGCCCATCTTGGAGGGCTGCAGGTTGTGGATGATGGATTGTGGGATGGTGTGTTCTCCATAGGGAATCCAGCACCATCCCTTTGCCCTGTGTGGACCAAAGTGGGTCAGCAGAAGAACTGGGTGCTCAGCTGGGGCCTGGGGAGCACAGGTGGATTTCTGCAGGAGCTGATCCAGCCCTGCTGGGTGGTGATGCTGTCAGCTGGAGTGTGGGTTGTGGCAGCTGGAGGATGCTGCATCGGCAGCTCTGGCTGCCTTTCATCATTTGATTATTTTTAAAGTAACTGTGCAAGTTCCTTTTAAACTGACCCATGGAAACTTAATAACACATCCCTTCGATTTGATGTAATTGCCTTTTGTCTGCCAAAGAGAATTCACCCTGTCTGTAGGAAGAGGAGGGGGAAAGGTGCGTTGCTTTTGAGACAGTAGCTATGAAGATATGATACTTGGACTCCTTTTTCACTTATATTTGCATTGAGAAACACAATAAAAATCATTTATTAAAAAAAAATATCCGGGGGCTAGAGTTGTTATTGAGAGCCTTTACTCAACCATCTCTCAAATAAAAACAAAACAAGACAAAGAAGTATCTAATCAAATCGAATCGAAATTGCTTTTCTAAAGAAATATTCTCATTATCTGGGTTAGGGATGGGATCTGAAGAATATTTCTTTTTTCCACATATTGTTTGAAATAATCTGGTTAAACTGTGTGCTTGTCTTATAATTTCTTACAGATGGTCACAAGAACAAAGAAAATATTTGTAGGTGGATTATCGGCTAATACAGTAGTGGAAGACGTGAAGCAATACTTCGAACAGTTTGGCAAGGTAAGTTCTGCCCAAGTGAGCACTACACAGTTCTTTCTTTCCTTTCTTTTTAAAGTGTGTTTCAAAAAAGTGCAGTCAGGGCTGGGCTCAGAGGAGGGCCACAGTTTTTGCCTTTCCGTGTCATTTCTCGAAGCCTCTGGAATTCCTCCTCTGTTCATTGTGTGTGTTTGTGCACAGCATTGCCAGCACTGTTTGCTTCCAGTAAAGTTAAAAAGGCATCATTGAGAGGTGGATCTGTGTCTGTTCAGGAAGAATTTGACCCTCAGCTGAATGATTATACAGCTGTCTTCTCCATAAAATCAGCCTTCTGTTTACCTTGATTGCAGTGGCAAAAGGGGCAGATAGATGTATGGGAGAGCTCATTAAGTTGTGAAAATGCCTGAAGGAACCACGTGAAAAGCAGAGAGTAATGTGGAAGTCACTGGAATATCCACTTAATTTCTTAGCAGAAAATCCTTATGCAAGATCCTGTGCAAATGCATGTAGAATCCTGACATCATTAAAAAAAAACCCCAAAACAACCAAAAACCCAAACAAGTTTATGCACAGAAGGAGCCCTGGACCTTGCCAGAATAGTCTTTGCTGTGATGTAACGACTCAAACCCCACAGTCCAGGCTGGGGCTGGAGCTTGAGCTTAGTGCCTGTGATTCCATGGAGTTCCCTGGGTACCCAAGGCTTTTGGACACTTGTTCAGGAGTCTGATGGGTGAAGAGCTTGCAGAGCTGCCTGCTCTGAGAGCAGCTGGTGGTGCCACCTTCCATGGGGACTCGTGCCAGCCCCGCTGTCCGTGGGGCTCCATGGACTCCAGCTCCATGGATTCCAGCTGAGCACTCTGTTCCTGTCCTCTGGAGTGCAGCCATCGATGGTTTAGATGCGAGATTGCGCGAGGACCCAGCGGGGTATCCCAGAGCAAAGCAGCTCCCATTCCTTGTAGTTAGTTTATGTTTCTTTTATCTGCCCTGAAAAGCCTGAGCCAGGCAGGATTTTGTCGAGGGCTGAGGGGGCGAGTTTATAAATGGTTCCTGTGCTGGATTGATAGTTGTTTTGCAAACCAGTCATTTTATTTTCAATAATAATCTTCGATTCCGGCAGGATGTTTACAGCCTGCTGAGCCTTTTATTAAAGGATTACATGAGCTTTTGGATGTTTCTTCTGTAGTTACTTCTAATTGCAGAACTCCACTAACCTGTATTTTTGAAGTTAATAATAGTTTCAATATAAGCGCTTTGCATATTGTCTGGATGTTGTCTTAATATAGTCTTTTTAATTTCACCATCTGGTAGTTTCATGCTTGCAATTTTACAGTCCCTGAGAATGCAGACAGCCAGGCTGTGTCTCAGGAGTGACTGGGGATTCGGGACGCTTCGGTTCTGCTTTCGTGCTCTGCCTTCCTTGAGACAGCTTAGCAGAGGTTTGCCTCTCCAGAGGCAACACTTGGGGAAAATCAGATATTTTTTTTCAGGTGTCTTAATTTGCAGGCTAAAAAAATTAAGGAGCTGAAAATTGCATGAGCTGGGATCAAGGCAGGAACCCACTCCAGTGACAGCACAGCTAGGATGTCCTGCTGAGGCTGTGTGATCCAGGCAGTAGAGCTCAGCTCCTGCAGGGCTTGGTCCCTGTTATTCCAGGTGACCTTTTCCAGGTGCATCCCTGTTTGACACTTCCCTCTTGCAGCTCGTGAAGAGTTTGGTGCAGCTGATATTGTTGGGAGCAGAGGTGCTGGGCTGTGTCACCCTCACTGGACCTTGGTGTGGGCATTGGGGTTCTCCCCACGGTGCTGTGCTCTTTGGCAGCTGGGACAGTCTGGTTTTGGGATGTTTTGAGGTGATCCTCCCCAAGGCTCAGGTTGTCAGGAGATGCAGAACTGGTTAATGACCCTTGGAAATGGGAACTTGTGCTCCAACTGAGTTAGAAGACTTGTTAATGTGCTGTGGATGGTGGGATGCTGCATTCAGATACAGTGACCCAGGACTGGCCCTGTGGGACCTTCAGGAGCCCTGTCCTTCTCCATCCCGCGCCTCTGCCGCTCCGTGACTCCCTTGCTCAACTCTCCAGCCCTTTGGACAGGGCCTGTGCCCTGCTCAGAGCTCCAGTCAGGCCATTGCCATGCAAACAGTGATCCCCATGGATAGGTGAGCTCTGCCTTTGCTCAGAGCTTTCTTGAAATAAAGCAAACTGCCTGACATGATTAACGTGCGAGGAGCCGCCCGTGTTTGATAAGAGCATCTCAGGTGAGTTGCTCTTTGAAATGCTGAGCTTATTTATCGGCCTGGAAAAAATTGCTTACTGTGATTCCTGAAATCCTGTTTGTACTTGCTGTGGAGAGGAGCTTGGCAGCCAACGGAGTCTGTTTTGGTAACTGGAGGTAGCTCTCTCCAAACACACAATGTGAGCAGAGCAGCCCCCAGCTCTGGGGCCAGGCGGGCTCGCTCATGTAACTGGAGTTGGCAGGGAAGGGATAAAGTGTTGAATTTGAAACTGCAGCTTTTTGAAAAGTCAGTGCCAGAGCCTTTGTCTCCAAGAAAAAGAAAAGCTTTAGCGAACACTCTTCCTGACTTCAGTGAAAGTGCCGGACGTTACAGCACCAAAGTACGTGGTAACAATAATGCTGAGACTTGGACAGTGAGATTTCTCATAGTGATTATTTTTCTTTCTGTAAAGCCCAGGATCTATAGGATCCTTTTGGAAAGGTTGGTATTCCTAGCTGCTGTAATCTGTGGAGGAACACAGGGAAAAATTACCTGAGTGAAGCCAAAAGGCTTCACAGTGAGCACAGAGCAGTGTATTGAACAGCTTTGTGATTGCTTAGAGCTGGTGAGGCTGAACTTGTGCACCTGCAGTTGCTGGGGGGCTCCCCAGAGAGGCTTGGTGGGGTCTTTGTGCCGGGAGGGGGGTCAGGGTGCTGTGAAAGGAAAGACTTGTCCTTCCAGTGGTTTCAGGGAGCGGGATCCACAGAGGACACAAGGAGGCTAAACCATTATGTTTACAGTCAGAAGAAAAACAAGCCATTGTGTTAATCCCTGATCCTGACAGTCTAATGCAGTTGTTTGTGGGATCCTCTGCTGTTTCAGTCAGAGATGTTTAAAACATTCTTACAAGCAAAATAAATTCACTGGCCGTGTTGACCTGTCTAGGCTCTGTAGCATCACCCTTGTGCTGGGTGGGAAGAGCTGCTGAGACCAGGCTTTAAAAGAATTTAAATGAGAAGTGTTAGAGGTGAGGAGATCCAAGGGGAAACTCTGCAGGGCTCGCATTCCTCCCCTGAGGGGCCACAGTGCTGCCCTGAGCCATCAGCAGGGCTGGGGCTGTGGGTCTGCCTGGTTTGTGGCTTTCTGGGAGTGTAAGCAGCATGGAGCTCTGAGTTTGGGACACGTTGGAGCATTTAAGACTTCAGGTATCATTTAAAAAAAGAAAGCACAACAGCCTCCTCAAGCCTTACCCAGAGGACTGTGACCAGCAGGAGAAAGCCCTGAGTGCTAATGAGCTGCACTTCTCAGGACCTGCACGTTCTGTACCTTCCGAGCTGCAGGCACTGATGAGGAGGGTTTGGAGGGTTCGTTTTCCCAGGTGCTGCTCCCTTCACAGAGCTCCTGTGAAAGCAGCACAGTCCTTCGTTTGCTACTTGCAATTATACTTCACATGGCGAACTGTGTAATTAGTTTGGAAGACTTATGCCTAGTCATTGGTTTATCCTAATCGGCTTTGGCTTTTCCCAACAACAAAGTGAGCTTATTTTCCTAAGCTGAAACAACTCTGCTCCCTTTGTTCCTCTCTTTTATTGTCTCATTCCTTTCATTCTGTTTTACTGCCAAAGTTTTGTTTCATTAGGCCTACAAGTCATTTCCAATCCAGTGGGCTGCTACAATAAGGCCTTTATAACTCAGCTGCCCTGGTTCCCATGTCCCTTCTGGTCCAGAGCCAGGACTTGCTGTTTGACATGGGATTTTAACCCTTTGGCTGCCCTAGCTGCTGGTCCCCCCTTGGTGGGGCTGAGCCAGGCTGGAGATGGGGCTGGCAGGGACCCCTGACGAGCTCATGGACCCTAATGATTGCGTGAGGCCGTTAATTGACACGTTAATGTGCTCGGGCTCCAGGTAACGCTTTTGGGCCCAATTATTGAAACAGAATTCTGATTAAAAATCTTCTTACTGTAATGAGTCACTGTGGGAACAGTCGTTGGAATGAAAAGGCCACTGTGTCCTTCCAGCATGGTGGGAACAGTTCTGGTAAAGGTGTGTTTCAGTTGTCCTGAGCTCTTAGATCAGCCCATGTACGACTGTTCTTGTGGAAAAATCATGTTTTCTTGTGTGGGAGAGAACACATTTAAATTTATCCTTTTTTGGACCAGAATGGTGATTTTTGAAGGAGATGTGTGAAATAGTTTTGTGGACAAACAATACTTTTACAAATTGTTATTTCAGACTGCTGGAAGAGCAGTTGGTGGCCCCAGATGTTTTACTGCTTCTAAAACTCTCGGCTTGGGATCATTAGGCTCTTCATTTTTCCTTTCACAGAAATCCTAAAGTGACTTTCGGGGAAGGGGGCTGTTGCACTTGTTTTTTATTTTAAATTTTCAGATGAAGTTGAACCAGCAATATGCATTAAATTTGTTTTCTGTCCTGGCTTGCCATGAGGTCCCTCAGACTGATCATAGGCATGTTCCAGCTCCACTTGGAATACGTTTTTTCCTCAAGAATGGCTTTTAAGATTTGGAAATTTTGAGACAAGACAGGATTTCTGAATTACCTCTCTGGATCTGAAACATTTTGTACAGTCACTTGTTATTTCCTGTGAGATGCAGAACAGACCAGTGGAATAATAAAAACTGGATTCTGAGGTTGGTTTTTTCAGCGAAACTGTTGAGCTTTTGAAAACGTGTAATTTTCTCGTCTCTTCCTCCTGTGGCCTGACTTAGTGTGTAGAGGCAGTGAAGCAAGTGAGAGGAGGTACCTTCTCACACCTGTCCTGGCTCCAGGCACACCTCCACAGATCCATGGTG